ATTACAAAGAAAAAAAAGGATTGTCTTCATCCGGTTTTATATCACGAGATATTTTTTTTTCTCATTGTCTTTATTTAAAGAGCATTTCCGCAACATCTAACAATGAAACATATGGATGCCGACGACGTACGGATTTATATACGTGAACCCGATAAAGATATTTTTTATCAACTAGAAGATATGAGGTAATATGTCACCTATATTTGCCAAATGTCAATAGTGACTATAAAAAAAAATTTCCTTTTCGTATAGTGATGTCAAAGATCGTTCCGTCCTAAAAGTCGTTCAATTGAATAACAATAATAATAATAATAATAATAATAATAATAAAACACAAGTTTCTTTTAAACAATCCGAATCCGATGACATATCTATTTATGTTCCGTTTACATCACGTCCATCACTTGCAAGTGAAATAACTTATCAACGTTTAAGTCGTCTTGGTCGTATGCCATCAACAACATCTATTCCATCAACATCATCAAGAAATGCATCAATCGAAGATAAATCAACATCATCGACACCAGCACATCCACAAATATCATCTAATTCTTCTTCATCTCGTTCTCTTAGTGAACCAAGACGTCGATCAGCTACTAAAGAAACAGCTTCTAGTGTTAATAATCAAACGTCTACAAATTCGAATTTAATCCGTTAGTAAAATGATTTGAAGATTCTTGTTTCTTTTTAAATATGGATAAATTATATTCTTTTTTTCTAGCTCCACAGGCTATAGCATCATCTCCAAGAAGTGGTTCAACAACACCGACAACACCTCGAGTTGGTGATGATGAATCTCGGTAATAATAAATAAATATTTTTCTTTTATATACAATAATATTTGTCTTTAATAGTAAAATGGCTTGGATGGAAAAACAACTTGAATCATTAACTGAGCTTGTTAAAGAATTAACTCGTGAACGAGCTCTTAATGAACAACAATTATCAACAAGAACAGGAATCTACAGAGGTATTTTACAGCAGACAAGTTCACGATTGAATAATTTTCATTCTATCGATTGGTTATTAATAGAGAAAGCTTCAAGAAATAATGAAGGTTAATGCCTGTTAGATCATCGAATAATTTTTACCTGATGATGTCATTTTCTGCTCAGAGCGTACTCAATGTAGCAGAAAGAAAAAGAGTACGAGTCATTTTAGAGCAAACATATAGCAATATGAAAGAAAAAAGATCAATTCTATTTCCGGTGTTGTGATTTGTAGTGGATGACTGCGAGGAGGGGGGGGGGACGATTCTTCCTTTCTTTCGAACTATCTTGCTCAGCAGAAAATGCCCGAAAATGAACCGATACAAGCTCTAATTTAATTTGAATACACGTTTCATGACTAGCTATCGTTCTTCTTTCTATTAAAGTGCTCGCATTGAACAAAAATCTTAGATCCGCTATTGATTATTTGATTAACTGATATTATTTCTTTTTAGACATTAATAGTAAGCCATTACGTCAGCAATTATATGAATTGAAAGTAAAAACCCATACATTACGTAATGATTTAATATCAATACGACGCATGCAACAGACATTACAAGAAAATTTCAAAATACAATTAGGAGATGCGAACAAAAAAATAGAAGTATATCTATTTACACAAAAAAGAGCTGTCTCATTGAATTATACGAATTGTTTTCGCTTTTAGGATTATATTTTACGTTTATATCGTATTGAAACCCGTTCCGAACAATTTCGTACTGTTGAAAATGAACTTGATTTATATATAATAAATAGTACGAAAATTGATCGAGACTTAGAGTATGATTAAATTTAACTATTTTCATATTTAATTGAATGTTTTTTTTTTTAATGAATCATAGAGATTTAGAAGCATCAGTCGAAGAATTACAAAATGATGTTAAATCTAAACAATGTTATGTAACAATGAATGATGTTGAAAGTTTTGCTTTAGTTTTAAGTACAATTAGTCGTTCATTAGTCGATTTAAAAGGTAAAAGCAATTTAAAAATGTATCAATGCTAAAGATAAGTTTTTCTCTTTTTTTTCTTAAAAGCTTCATTTCCAGTATTACGTGAAAAAATTTCTTCACTTGGTCAACAATCAACATTAAATGACGATCAGAAGTAAAACTTCTATGGACTATTTTTTTTCTCATGTTTTTTTTTTATTTTTTCGATCATTAGATTTTTACATGAAGAACCCGAACGTCTTGATTATACCATTAAAAAATGTAAACGTTTAACTACAATGCTCTATCAACTCAAACGATTAGCTGTTACTCAAGAACAAAAATTAGTATCACAAAAACCACGATGTCAACTTTCATTTGGTTCAAATGGGAAACAAGTTGATCGTAAACGTTTATTAGAACAAATAGAATCAGTAACACAAAATTCTGATGGTCGCGTAAAAGCTATTGAGGTTAAAATATATTAAAAAGAAAAAGAGAAAAGAAATAGACGTTTATTCTCATTTTTAGAAAGCAGAAAAATTACGAGAACGTCGTTTACACTATACCAATCAATTAGATTTACTCAAACAAATGAAATATACATCTGAACAGGTATAAATAGTTTATATCTTTTTCTTTATATAAAAACTTTTGTTTATTTTTAGATGGATGGACATGATTCAGGACAGTGTTTCGATACACGAAGTTTAACAAATTCAATTTTACTATCATCAAGTACACGAACAAGTATATGTTCAACACAATCAACAACAGATTCAACAGCGTTATCAAATAATTGTCCATCACCATCACTTTCATATATTGTTCGTCAAGCAGTAATTTCTCCTACAAATGCACCAATCATAATACATGATACAAAAACTCGTTCACAAACATCAATAAAACAACCAACAAAAGTAACATTTTCTCAACAATTAATAACAAATGGAAAATCTTCAACAAATTCACGTGATCATTCAACTGATTCATATTTATCAACAAATGGTATGTGTATAAATAAAAAAAGCAAGCCAACACCACCCCCTCGTATACAAAGTACATCGTCATCGGCTGTTTCAAGTGCAGCATCATGTTCGTCATCATCTAGTTCATCATCATCAAATAGTAGTGCAAATTCACGTTCAACAAATGGTTTTTGTGGTATTATACCACTTGTTATTTCGCCTGATCGTCGTCATAGTGGACGATGTAATTCATTTTCATCATCAAGTACTGATACGGACTCAGTTATTTCAAATCCTCGTGGAACTATTTCACATAAATCACCAACAGTCAATAATACAAAACCAATATTAATATCAAATGGTTTTCATCATAAAACATCAACATCAACTAATGCAACAGCATTAATGCGCGCTTCGGTTACTGATCTGTAGTACTGTTTATTGTGTATAGTTCTGATATATATATATACCATATATGTGTGTGCTTGTACAGCTTTGTCGTCTGTTTGTTTTCATTTTTTTTTACTATTATTTTTTTTTCGCTTTTCTTTTTCTTTTTCTTTTTGTCTTTTTTTGTTCGTATCGTTATATTATAGCAAAAAGGATAAAAGTCAGCCATCATCATTCGTCATCCTATATATTATGTTTAGATTAAAAAAAATCAATAGAGCGAAACATCAAAGGATATCGATAAAGAGAATAAGGTGATTTGTATGATTTTTTTTTGATTTTTCTTTTTTTGGTAATTATGAAAAGCGAAAGAGAAGATAAACAATAAATGGGTACAGTACATAGGTGAGTCACACTTTTATCAGTATTATCAAGGACACAGAGAATGTATTGCCGCTAAAATACTTATTGAAACACAAGATGTATGTATTTGTTACAGTTCGCAGAATGATTACAATCGTGTCCTTGCAAAACAACCGCGAGCATCTATTGGTATGCCAAAATTTGACATAAAAAATAATATTGCCCAAAAGTTACCTAGTGATGCACTTTCGGTAAGTATTTATTTACATGTATTAAAAATGAAAACTTACAGAACTATTCTTGTCTATAAGATATTCCAAAAGTCATAATCATGTCACTAATACAGATAATTCCACTATTGATCAAATTTAACCAAAAAATGATTTCTATTTTATATTGAAGATTAGAAAGTTTGTATTCGGGCAGACTAAGTTTAGCAATAGCATAGAAAAAGTAACATTTTCTGTTACGTATTATTGACTTTTAATCATGCAGATTATTTTAACATTACAATGGAGTTTCTTGCTTTTCTTTTTGTAAGAATAAATCAAAATGAATGTTTATAAAGTTACAGTCCAAAATTAAAATGATTTGAAATCTATAATGCTGATAGAAATTTCATCACATATAAAAGAAAATCATTGCATAATCTTCGTAGTACCGTAAAAATGATAAGTACTAAATATCAACCAAAGTGTTATCTTTTCTACACTGTTGATAAACTTGGTTTTTAGAAATCAAAATATAGTAATATCCTATATAAAATAGAAAAGGTATTTGATTAAACTTGATCAATAGCAATGTTAACTGCGTTTATTGGGTGATGATGAATTTAATGATATTATATATATATATATACTAAAGTAAAACTCAGTTTTTTTTTCATCTAGTTCAAACGTACTAGTATAACTTTTATAGATCTTGCATACTGTTGTCTTTGAAAAAGATCATGCATACTGGAATTTGTAGTCATAAGAAGTCTGAATACAATAAGTAATATTAATCATTTTGTGAATGAATAGATTCCTGTTCCTGTGCATGTTCCACAAAACAAAATTCAAAGTGAAAATGCAACTACTGCTCTTTCATACAAACCATCGGCTGTAAAAAACCATTCCGAACCTATTCAAACAGTACAACAAGTGAAAATTTTGTATATTTCTGTAACTTTATACTCATGTTTTTTGATGAACTTTGCAGTCGAATGCATTACTACCTAGAGAACCGATAACTTCATTCTCTGTTATCAAGTATCCAAAAGAACAGAAATTCAAACAAGAACGACCACAGAAACAAATAATCGAGCAAAATACTTCAAATTTAAGTAAATCTGGTTTACCTATACATCATCAAACAATGTATGGTGATGCTGTTGTTATTTCTCGTTCTATCATGGATCGAAATAATCAGAGATGTTTGCAAAATCATTGTTCTACATCATTTCGACCTAATCGTTCTATAGTTCAGCATAATGGAAAACAATTTATTGTTGAATTTACACAACGTATAGAACAACGTTTTATACAATTCATGGATAAAAAGACAAATCGAATGAGATTTTTTGACGTCATTGATTGTATACCAAGTACAATAGTACGGTCATATGGATCCAAATCTCAATCACTATCACAAAATAGCACTTCTCGTCCTAATCATCGATCGGATCAGTGTCTTGCTCGTCAACAAATTCCAAACTATCGATCACAAACAGTTATACCTTTGAGTTTCATTGATAAACGAAGTTTTAGTAAGTATTCAGATGCTTGCATGACACATTGAAGATATGTGTTCAATTCGAAATTGACTCGATCTATAAATCGCAATTTTACGCACGTAATTTAGAAATTCTATTTTTATTCATATAAAATTCACACCATAATAATACTGATGTGCTTTTCGAAATTAGTACTTTGAGAAAAATTCACGACAAAACCTACACAATTTCATTTCTTCCACAAATCCTATCAATACGTCAATTAACAATATAAACTATTACTGATATAAACAGTGGTTAAGCAAAGATCGCTAAAGTGATGACATAATACTCGTTACTTAATCATTTTAGGGGTTCTTAACAAACTAATGCTTATACTACTAAAAAGTACAATTGATTCAGTTTATGATCGTTCACAACTTAACTTTCTGAAAACTTTACATATCGATTCACAGAATTTATTCGATCATTATTCATCAAAACTGTTTCTTATAGAATCAGCATTATGTGAACTACATGTTCCAACTTGCTCTAGTGATGACGAGTCTTCTACATCTTCTTCTTGTGGTAAATATTAAATGATTTAAAAAAATTTATTTGATGGAATATCTCTAGATTCAGATGAAGAAACTGAAACGGAATATGATCAAAGCATCGATCGAAGATTGAGATCAAACGAAATTCGTAGCGGTCACCGAGAAGCGTATCCATTTTTCTTTAGTAATCATAGTACTCCAGGATTTTTAAATGGAGCAATTGGCGAATACAATTTACCAACGTCATTTAATCCATTTGCTCGATCAGAATATCCAAGTCATAATTATTACTATCGAAAACAATCTACCCTAAATAAGTACATATTAAGTTTTCAAATAAAACATTTTATTCTTTTTTAATATGATCAATTTTTAGCTGTACTCAACCACTTATGATCCATTGAAAATTTCAACACTCTACTTATCTTAATTATGGGTCGATTCCAATTGCTTTTAAACAATCAACTAAATTTTACTATTAGTTATTTTTTTCTTCATTTCTACTTTTCCTTTGTTTATTGTTACGGATCAACGTCTACATTCTTCTGCGAAAGTATTATATTAAAATATTTACAATGATTAAGAAGCAAATTTAGTTTTTTTTAATAGTAGTTTTCATGTTATCATTTTTGTCGTTTTATGAATAAACTAAATGATGAATACAGGGAACAGTTCTGAAACAAAGTGTTAATTTAATTACACCATTCTTCTGTTAAAATAGAACATAACTGTAAAGAGTACGATGTAAAATCCAAAACCTATAAAATACTTTTCTATAAAGTCTGTTGCGATTATATTATATTATGCGTCATATATTCAAATCGTTATTATTACCAACAGAATTTCTCGCTGAAGAATTAAAAAAAATTTGTTATTCAATATGTCGTTTGACCAATTTATAATTACTTATAAAGCTACAATGAATGAATTTGTATGTGTATATTAAACTATGTTCAGATCAGCCATTAGCAGGAGTAATTAGTTATCGTTGTTGGATTATTGCGTTAATAGATCATTGTTTAACAAGAAATTCTCACACAACTAGTGAATATTCACTATGTCAGGTTTTTCATTATCGAATACTCGGTCACATAATTTGAACTTGTTTTTCTTAATCATATATTAATTTTTGTACAAGAATTTCTTCTACTTTTGGTTATTTAACTGATCACTGAGATAGTTGCACACAAAAACTAAGCTCCATATAAGAGGATCAGGTATGCACATCGATGGATGGTAAATATGATCAAAAAATTTGTTTTTTCTTGAGAAGTTACATGAGACTTTCCTGTTATTGAAAAATCTTTATGCGGAAGGATATCTAAATTAGGAGTACACCAATCCCAATTCAAAATCTTAGAATTGGTCGAAATGGTTTGGAATATGAATTGGAGCAGGTGAAATTGGTTAAACTTTGAATTGAAGTAAGTTGGAATTGGTCAGAAGTTGAGCGGCATTGTGCTGGAGTTGGTCCCGATCGGCATTGATTAGTGGTAGACATGTCACGTTTTCCATGCAGTATTGAGCTATAGGTATTGAATGGCATTCGTATTGCTTTATCCCTAAGTTTTCCGCTTAAGAAAGAGTTTTTTAACAAAATTAAGTTTTTTTTTTATAAAGTTTGCCAGAAGATAACCGAGTGTGCGGAACCTAAATCTGCAATTAGTTTCTCAAAGTTCGATACTTCATTGTTTCAACAAAGAGGGAGTTTTTCGAGAAAACAATTATTTTTTAATTAAGCTTAACCGAAAGTATTTCAAGTTGAGGAATACAAATCTTCAAGCAGATTCTCCATATTTGGAACTTGTTTTCCTGCTGAAATAAACTTATGCCGTCTACCGATGATCGAATGTCATACAAACTCACTATGTTCTCAAAAAAACCTTTCTTTGTTGAAAAAGTCAAGTATCCAATTGTGAGAAACTGATTGCAGATTTAGGTTTCTCAATCTGAAGAACCTTTCGTCAAATTTAATAAAAAAATATTATTTTCTTAAAAACACTACTTCTTGAGCGAAAAAATTAGGGATGTAGCAATACAGATACCATTCAATACCAATAGCTCAATACTGCATTGGAATTGTGACATGCCAACCCCCAACCGATGCTGATCAATAGTCATCTATTTCTGACGGATTCCAACCAGTTCCACATAAATTCGAATCAAAATCAATTATAGAACTGAAATTGGAATTGGTGCATTCCTACCACCTAATCTTAAAATATGACGTGATAGGTACTAGGGATTGAAGAATTTGGACAAGAATGACCTATTTCTCTAGGTTTTCAGTCTCGTGAATCAAAAATAATTGGTCGATAAAATATAGGTAAAAAGATTAATGGATGTAAGTTTAGAATATAATCACACCAGAATTACGAATGTAACAGCAATAGTTCTACCCTGAGTGTGTAGTTTTTCTTTTCCAATGTTCGGAAATAATTTCGTGTGAGCGAAACACATGTCTTTACACAAAAATGAAAAACGATGAAGCTTTTCATGTGGTCTATTGCAATAATTAGATACAAATAAGATCAATAGTAGAAAATCCTCTAACAAACACTATATTCGATGGTTCGTTATGTTACTAAGATACTACAATGCATTCGTTTGTATGTTCTTCATAAGCTATCTTGTGTTCAAAATAAGTGTTTTACAACGAAGACTATGTCGGCATAACCTAGATTTAAGTTCCACACGAAAAGATCGTGCAGTACTTCTTTGTTGGCAAACGCTTTTCAACGATAATAAACCATGAACAGTGTTACGTTCTTTAGTTGTAGTACAACTATATTTTTTATTATCTTCAGAGCTTATTGCAAGACAATGAGAACTGACAGTAATGAATTTCGATGAATAACAGAAAAACTTCCGATCTCCTCAAAATCATTTACATGAACCTATTACATGGTAAAATTATTCAACCAACAATTCTATCAATCGTGAATAATGTCTTTGGATGAGAATTCACGTAAAATAAATATTAGCCACCACAAATTCATTAATGCACCTTGTTAGGACTTTTTGGTATGGGTTTCTGACAACGATTCTACATACATTTTTTATTTTCAATATTCTAATTATTTTTTTTTGTTGTTACCTTTACTCGTTCATTCATTATCTATGATTGATCGAAATTCTTGATGTAATAAAAATCCTATCAATTTGAAATATTTAAGTACTCAATGCCTAACTATTACAAACTAATTATAATAAATAATCAAACATTTTATCAATGTATTGCTTCAAATCATGCATTACTATCACTAAGTATTAAGTAACTAGGATCATGTAAACATTACTTTTTTTCTATGTGTATATTTCGTGCTTTTTTTGCTTGAGCAACAAATTTATCTTTTTCTTTTTTTTTATCTAATTAATCTATTATCAATCTGTCTTTTTTTCATTAATAAAACAAACAATATCCATATAAAATATTTCTGAATCTGACATTTAACTTTTTTATACATTATTAATTAAAATTACGTCCGATATTTTTTTGCATTAAAAGATTGATCAAAATTAGAATCGACTAGAGGCCGTTTGAGTCCAATTTTTGATTCTCCACATAACAATTGTTGTTGACTACTAATACCATGTTCATCTTCATCTATCATTTTCTTACGTTCAGCTTGCATGGCATCATCGAGCCATTCGACACGCATCGATGGTTCGATATCTTTATCATGGTTATTGTTATTATTAATATTACTTATTGATCGAATTATTTGAAGTGATTTTTTATTTTGCTCATCATCATTTATTGATGAACGAGGTATGGATGCATTAGTGTTACTATTATTATTATTATTATTATTATTAAGAAATTGTGCTAAAGATGATTCAAGATCATTGAGCATTGTTTCAGCTTCATTAGAAATTTGTGATGATTGTTTTGGGATAGATGGAATGACTTTTGGTGGTGAAATTTCAATAGTAGAAACATGTTTAGTAATATGTGACTTTTTCTTCTTGTTGATAATAAGTATATTACGAGGAGTTTGTGAATGTTTTAAAGATGCAGTAGTCTTCATTGTTGTTAATGAGGGAATATGGTTTTCTTCATTATCATTATCATCATCATCATCATCATCACCGGCAGAAATAAAAGTCTACAAGAAAATGATGTAACTCCAACGATTAAAATTCAATTGATTTTATTCAAAGAATCAATATTTTTTTTTTTACTAACCAAAGATCGATTTGGATCATAAGTAGTAGCATATAATTTTTCAGCTACACGTTGTCCAAACTTCTGACAAGCTTTAAGCCATGCAGGATGTACACATAATGCTCTATATTCTTCAGCTTTCTTATATTCTTTTCCTCTTTTACTTAATTTTCCCTAGACAGAAAAAAAACAATTATTTCTCCATGTTTCAATTTAGTAATAATATTAAAAAATGTTACTTACTTGACAAATATAATGAGTAAAAGGTACATTGAAAACCCAAACAAATTTTCCACCAAGTGCTGTACATTGTTGATGTAAAGCTATTCTACTCGTCACTAATTGATGACTAACAAAAATGACAACACCTTGTAATGGTGCTTTTGTACTGGTTGGCTAAAAAATAAACACTTAAATAAATGAAAAAAAATATATTATAAGTAAATTTCTTTTTTCTACTGATGATAGAATTTCTTGTGACATGGTTGAGCCTTGTTTAAAGACGAACAAAATTTATAACTGCCTAAACATTTTTATTTCGCCAATGAAATATAAAACTATGTTAAAGACATCTGCAGGAAAGTCTAAGAACAAACCAATCATTTATTTAAATTGTTCTTTAAAGGTTAAAAGACAACAGAATGTTTTTTGTTTTACTTTCGCTACTTTCTATTTAGTCCATTGTTATGTGATTATTTTAATACACTCCAAACCTTTTGTTTTTAAAGCGGGCAATGATCGCCTGTTATTATTCATCATTCATTTTTTATATTATCTTTTTTTCTTTGTCATCGTTTACTTTTGCTTATCAACGATCTACAATTGATTCAACAATTACCAACGATGACACTAAAACTGAATCAAATATTGAACAAGGATGGCAATCGAATGATGACGATTATGTTGATGAATCAAAATTTAATAAAGCATACTATAAACATGAACAAGCTTTATTAGCAAATATTTATGCACCAAATCGAACTTATGTATCGATGCATGATGATCGTATTCATCCATCGAATTTTTCCTATTTTACATTTAATAGTCTTGGTACATATCGTTTTATTTTAATATCATTACGTGGTGATGCTGATTTATATATATCAACACGTAATAAATATGTTACTTATGATAATTATGAATATAGTTCATGTACATGTGGTATTGATGAAATTCTTATTGACTATAATATGAAACGACCAATTTATATTGGTATATATGGTTATTCACAATATCAAATAAGTCATTATCGTTTACTTATTGAATTAGTTGATACAAAAATTTCAACAGATGAAACAACTGTCGAACAATCAAATGATGATAAATCATATAAATCAACGGATGAACAACAAACATCACAAATAAATAAAAAAACTTCAACAGTTATTGCTGAAGGTGAAGAAGACCAGCAACATATACTTTGGAATATATTTTTATGGCTTTTAAATTTTCTTGTCGAAGTGTTAACTTGACGGACTTTCTTTTTGTTTTTGTCTTTCATTGTTTTTTTAAATACATATGTTCAATTGTATGTTTGCCGGTGTTTCAGTCGCTTTTATTGATTGGTTCTCTTTTTGTTCGAGTTCTCGCATAACTTATGTCATATATATATGTACTTTTCTTTGCGTTCTTTTTTTTAGATAATAATTAATTAACAAGAAAAAGCAAAAAACGAAAATGATCAGTACATTTAATCCATTTGAAGCAAATTATGATTCAATTAATGAAAAAGATGATTTTAATATTGGAAATTCAAATAAAAATTATTCAATAAATCCATTGGAAACTGAAGCTGAACGAAATCTTCGTACACGTACTGTGTAAGTTTAAATTAGAGTCTTATCAAATAGTCTCGAATCTTGAATGTTTCATCTGGCGAGACCGATGAAGCTCAAGACTTAAAAATAATGTTTGTCCTGCATAATTCTAGTTTAAATATAATTCTTATAACTAATTCTATTAATTTTATTTTTCTAGTACACCAATTGTAACGGGTTCATCGGTAGCAGCATTTGTATTCAATGGTGGTGTTATTTTAGCTGCTGATGTACTTGGTTCATATGGTACTTTAGCTAAATATCGTAATCTACCACGTATTCATCAAGTTAATGATCGTACTATTTTGGCACTTGGTGGAGATTTATCTGATGCTGATTATATTAAAGAAGCTATTGATGCTAAAGTGTAAGTTCAAAAGTACGGATTGATTTTTTTTTTATAATTTATGTTCTTATATAAGTGAGGAAGATCTGGTTCAAGAAGATGGAAGTGAAATGACACCATTGGCTCTTTATGCTTGGTGTACTCGACTTATGTATCATCGACGAACAAAATTAAATCCATTGTTAACAAGTGTTGTAGTAGCTGGAATAGAAAATAATGAACCGTATATATGAAGAATTAATTCAGAAAAGTTAATTTCTTGAATATATATTTTTTTTTTCTTGTTTGCAGATTTCTTGGACGTATTAATGATAAAGGTTCAGCTTTTAAAGAATTTTTAATCATGACTGGTATTGCAAATCATTTGGCTCAAGTGAATTTTTTTTTGTTATTTTTGAACGATTTCTTTTATATATATGTTTTCATCTATTTAGGGTTGGATTCGAACTATTCTTGAAAATTCGAATCAACTTAATAAGGATCAAGCTGAACATTTAATGGATCGTATTATAAAACAACTTTTTTACCGTGATTGTCGTGCATTTGCTCGCGTAAGATAAACTTATTCAAATAAATATATATATATATATGGTTCTTTTTATTTATTTATTTTCTAGTATCGCGTTTGTATTGTAACAAAAGATGGTGTTGAATTTAAAGCTAAGGAAGTTCAACCTGATTGGAGCTTGGCACCATCACTGTACGTTTTGTTTGAATTATATCAATCAATTATTTGTTTTTCTTGTATTCTAGACGCAATTCGGAATAAATCATCAAATATCAAAAATGATTGAACTTAAATTGACAACTTAGTCGAGATTTTCATTCTTGTGTTGTTACTTCGTTCTTTTTTTTTTTTTATTATCATTCTAAATACAGACGAAGTCTTATTTCATTCTTTTTTTTAATATGGCTGTGTTCTTCTCACTTATAGATATTAGGAGTTGAATAATTTACGTGACAGACACCAAAAATTTTTTACAATTACGAATTTCCTAATGCTCCTGATAAGCGTCAAAATGTTTCGTTCTTTTTTTTCATCTTTTACTTAATTTCAATTTGATGCTTATTGTGCAAAAATTGTTTATCTCTTAGAATTTAATATATCTTGAACATTAAACAAACATTTTTCTTATCCTCAGTTTTTCAAAATATTTTTATTGTTCTAATAAGAAAAAAACTTCTTTTTATAAAATGCAAGCAATTATTAAAAAACGATTTCATTTTCTTAAAAGCATATATATAAAACTCTTGAATTGATGTTTCTCGAGTTTGAACAAGTTTAGGTCTCTTTTTTTATCTGAATGAAAGGATTGATGAACGAAGAACATGGAAATGTTCAACATCCAAAAGTTAAACACACAAGATAAAAAGTAATGATAAAAGGTGTAGGTGTGTAGAAAAGTATGAAAAGAAGACTAACACTCGTAGCTATATACATGTATTCATCTTTCACTACTCATCATATTTACTTCCATTTTTTGATGTGCTTAACTATTAGGTACTGAAATTTCCTCATGCCTATCGTTCTACTTTCCAAATAATCGCAAATATCATAATAAAAAAAATATGAAAATTTTAATTAATCTTCTTGTGTAATATTTTCATTTGAATTTTGATCATAAAAAAAAACATTTTCGAAGTTGTCTATTCTTCAGTGCATATCCGTATGAGTATGTACTTGAGTTTAAAAAAAAATCATAATAAGATATAAGATTGATTGACATTTAGTTACATCTGTCTATCTCATCATTAAACTTGTTCGAGAAGTGAATATACCAAGTGTCTTATTTCACATTTTTCATGTTTCTTTGTCTTTTTCTGATTTACTTATCTATTGCGTTTCCATTGGCAATCCTATTATATCTAAGATTAGAAGACGATGTGCCCTTTCAACATATCGAGCATAGGTTCTAATCAGAATGTTTGTTCTTATTCAATGTATCCTCTTTATCGATTATTAAGATAGGTTTTCTTTGTTTTCCATTAGCGTCATATTGATAGTTCAATCGGATAAGATAAGTCTTACTAGTCTGTCTGTCACCGGATATCATTTTATAACAATAATCAATGAATTGATGCATCACGTTTTCGAAACAAAAAGAACTAATGAATTTCTTGTTTTTTTGTTCTTATTTTTAAAGACTGTATTAGTCATAATACACATTCACACTACTGCAACTCTGATTAATCAGGTAAGATGATGACACATCACTTTCTTTTCTTCTTATTTTTAATAATTTATGGCACGCGTCGATTCCTTTCTACTTTTTTCTCATTTTGATTTCACTCTATTGAATTCGACAGTCTTAATACCTTTTTTGTCGTACGAATAGTTCATTGAAAGAGAGAGGAAGAGGAAGAGCGAGGGAAAGAGAGAAAGAGAGAATGACCGTTTGACCGGTTCAGTGTTGGTTGTTACACGTTCGTATCATCGCTATTGGTCGATGTAGAATAGATGGAACAACGCACACGAGAACGAAGAACAAACATGTAAAAAGTTTGTCCATTTTCTTTTCACTGCCGTCGATCTTCTAGCCATCGACATTAATTAGAGCGATGACTGCTGTTACTACTGCCCTAATTTCATGACACATGTGTGACCATCATCACTATTTTCATTCTATTATATTCATTATAAGGAATAAATAAACATCTGTTGTTCAACTTACATCTCATATTAAGTCATGCTAATTTTTCATATTGATCTGAGTCATCTTTCATTCTTAGAAAGAAAATGAGTAAAAGAACGGAAATAATCAAGCGTTGTTTCTATTGTATTATGAGTCATATATCTTTTTCAGATATTTTCAAAACTTCTAACTTTCCTTTTTTTACTGACCTAAATACAAAAAAAAATATGTTCAAGTTTAAACTTGGACATAAACAGCCTGAAGAGAATGAAGCTCGTCGACGTCTTCAAAAGGAATTATTCGGATTAAATAAAGTAAGTATGTAATTACTTTTTTTCTCATTTGTATGAGTTTGTTTGTTTAGATTTGTGTTCGTGGTTTTCCTTCACGACCATCGGCACTTGCTTATGATTCTCAATTAAAATTAATTGCTATTGGCACACATACGGGTGAAATTCGCATGTAAGATTCTTTATATGATAAAAAAATCATTAACTATTGTTATTTTTGTTTTCCTAGTTATGGCCAACCTAATTTTCAATTATCATATAGTCTTGATCCAAATTCATCATCATCTATTCGTAAATTAATGTTTCTTGATGGTGTCGGACGACTTCTTGTTTTAACTATTGATGGTTATTTACATTTACTGGAAATAAATAATTATCATCCATCAATAAATGATTTTTCATCAAATAGTACAGTACGGATTGATCGTACCTGTACATCAAGTGAAGATGATTCAGTTATACTTAAAAATACACAAACAATATGTTTATTAAGAAATCATTTGAATCTATTAATTGGTCTTGATGATGGAAATATTTATTCTTTTAATATTGAAAATTTTTCACTTAATATTAATCCAATTATTTCAACTGATGTTATTGAAAAAACGTAAGAGAATAAACATTCCCGAGTGTACACACATAAATCATTTCATAAATAAATTAGAATAAAGAATTCTTTCAAGAAAATTTCTTATTAAGTGCCCATCATAAAAAAAAAATAATGCATCCTCTTTCTTGAATAATTCATTTGATTTACTTTAGAATTGTTGAATATTGCAGTGGTCGTATAATTCATCCGGGTCCTGTACAATCAATTGTTCAACATCCAACTAACGAAGATAAAATATTGATTGGATATAAAAATACACTTATTGTACATTGGGATTTGCCATCGAATAGTCATGATCGAACTTATATTTATAAACAAGTAGATTATTATTAATTTTTAAACTAACTTATTTAAATTTCTTATTATTTTATCTCTCGAAGGAAGTCGAATCTGTTTGTTGGTATAATAAAGGTATGAATTTTGCTACATGCCATAATAATGGAAGTTATGCATTGTGGGATGCAAAACAACAATTAAATATAGTTGAAATGGAAAAAAATCCATATGGACCTTACCCATGTACACCAATGACTAAAATTTGCGTTAAAATTATGCGAAAGTAAGTTATTAATTGTCTTGTTAAGTCAATAAAAATTAGTTCAGAAGTTTATGATTAGTGTCCTGTAATCCAATCGGACACTCAGCAGTCAGTAGTTTCGGCGCATTGATTCGGATATGAGATTATGCCTGAATTCAACCCGGCAATCAATGAGATGTCAAATTTAACAAATATTTTTATTTTTTCAAAATACTAATTTATATTAAAAGTATAGAAGTGAAAACTTGAGCAATTTATTGTACATGAGAACAAATCACAGAAGTAGAAGGTGACATTATTTTACTAAAAGAATTCATTTTTAATGATAGTCCATCTACGAATGATGAACCCTATGACGAAGTGGTGGAATACCTGAAGAAAAAACTGAATTATTAAAAAAGAGAACATGTTTTATCATAATGGAAACAATATTCGTGTCCGGTTGCACACTTATCAAGTTTGATATCAATAATGCACTCTATTCTTGCGTCATCAGCAATTACCAGACGTATATTTACCAAAATTAACCAAGTTTTAGATGTAAAGAGATACTAATTGAATCCTAAATCACTTGATTCATTTGCTCTTTTTGTGGAGTTTAAGATGATTCTTTTCTTTTTTTGTTATTGTTTATGCAAGAAACTCAATAGCATACTTTTTTGTAAAAAAACTAAAAGTTTGAAAATCGTATTGCGAGTGTGAATGTATATGCCACATGTCAAGTAGCTCTGGTCGGGTTCATATTACAATTAATCAGATCCGATTGCGAAAATTTGTATTCGTGCAGAACATTATTCGTAATGTAAGAATAGATAGAATTAACTTTGTAATTTGTAAATGATTGAAATGAGAAATAGATTTCTCTGATATTGTAAATTATTAGACCAACAGATTGTTATAAGATTGCATCAAAATAATCTATCAACTCACTCGAATATTCAATTCATTTTTCTGTATCATTTAATAAGAAAAAAATATGCTAGTTTTAGTTATTAAAACACCAACGATGAATTCTTGTTAAGCATAATACTTGTTTAGTACAGAAATTATCAAAACTTTTCTCAAATATATTTTATTAAAGCCTTTTTCTATCGAGTTCAGTTTAATCGGTGATTTCATATTTTGCAGTTTCACTAGTAGGTCTTGATGAATTAAGATTATTGACAAAATACTCTATATAAACAGCGAGTCATACTTAAAAATCAATCTTTATTACAATGTCAAGTTTTAAATTACATAATGATATTTATTCCGTTACTGCATTTGTCAACAAAATTCGAATATCCGAAGAAATAAATGCGTTTTTCATATAATTGCATAGATTATGATTGATAATTGTGAAACTATAGCTATTCGGATCTTTTTACTCATAGAAAACAACATATTGAATATCAAAGTTAATTGTTTAGCATTTTATTTTCTTCATTTTTAATCATCATATTTTTTATTTATTTCTTATTTAAAGTGGTGATCCTTTAATAATATTTGCCGGTGGTTTACCTCGTTCAAGTTATTCAAATAAGCATAGTGTTAGTTGTTTATCTGAAAATGAACATGATCATAATAATGAACGAACACGGCATGTTACTTTTGATTTTACAACGCCAGTTATTGACTTTTTTACTATTGATAAATCATCAAGTGATAGTTGTATGCTAATCTATGAATGAACTAAACCTTGAAATAAAACTTTTTTTCTTATTTTTTAGCACGTGATGATCCTCAATCAGTTGTGATTTTATTAACTGAAGAAATAGTTGTTATTGATCTTGTTACGGATAGTTGGCCATCATATCATTTACCTTATTTAAATAGTATTCATGCATCACCTGTTATATGTACAACAATAGCATGTAATGTGAATCCACAATTTTATAAACGACTGGTTAATTATGCAACAATTCAATTTGATGATTATTCAGATCGAGTTAGTTGAAATTGTTTTCATTTAATATAATCTATATTTTATACATTATTTAAGAGATGGCCAATAACAGGAGGAGAAATAAAATGTAATTCAAATCATTTAGAAGATGATACAGAACAACGACATTTATTACTTACAGGGTAAGTGAATCGAAAAAATAGAAATATTTAAAATATATTTTATCATTCAATAGACATGAAGATGGATCAGTACAATTTTGGGATATTACTAATATTTCAATGCCATTAATTTATAAATTAAAAACAAGTGACTATTTTCAAATTGAACAAGCACCTATTGATGATACAGAAGAAGAAACATGGCCACCATTTCGAAAGGTTAGATCTAAAATGTTCAAAAATTTTAATCATACTTATTCTATTTAGACGGGTCTATATGATCCATATTGCGATGATCCTCGTTTAGCCATACAAAAATTATCTCTTTGTACAAATACAGATACACTTATTATTGCTGGAACAGCTGGACAAGTTCTTACCTTTGAATTTTCAACTGATTCTACCGAAGTGAATATAGCTGTAAGTTTTATATTAATTGTATTTAAAACAATTTGATTCTTATTTTCTCTTCGATAGACAACAACAGTAAATTTACTTGATGGTTGTGAAAGTTTTATTTGGAAGGGTCACGAAGAAATGAAAACAAAACAAACATTTATTCCATCTGGTCTTGTTCTTACATCATTAGTCCAATTGTATCCGCCAGCTGCTGTTTCAGCATTAGCTCTATGTTCTGAGATTCAAAGGTATGCTTTTATTGAACATTTTATAGTTAAATTATGTGTTATGATTTTAGTTATGCTGTTGGTACTGCACATGGATTTACAATATTTAACTATAAACAAAATCGAATACTTGCTGCTAAATGTACACTTGATCCGAGTGCTTTAGGAAATACATCAACTGTACCTTTATCAATGGGTGAATCAACATTAATACGTGGGCGTTCTTTGAAAAAGTCTCTTCGAGAATCATTTCGACGTTTACGTAAAGGACGAACAATAAAAAAAGCCACAATGATACTAACACCAAAACGAACAGATGAAAATAATCCATTATCACCAGCTAATATTCATTTGGAAGAAATTATTCGTGTACCTGTTGAAAGACAAGTTGAGTTTAGAGAATTTAAACCTGTTGATGATCAAATTGTCAGCATGGTTCGTTGCCTTTATTTTGCTAAAACTTATCTTAATAGTGGTAAGTTTCTACGAATAATAATAAAATATTCTTTTTTTATTATTTGATTTTGTTTTTTTTCTATATGTAGTCAATGATCGAACTCGCTCACTTTGGGCTGGTACAAATGGAGGTCATGTATATGTTTATTCTATAACTGGTTCTGAATCTCAATCAATAAATACACTAACAAATGGAACTCCTATTGCGACAGATCAAACAAGTATATGTTCCATGGGTTAGCTATTTCTTTTTTAATTTACCATTGATTTGAAATTGTTAATTTTAGCGAAAGAAATTCGATTAAAACATAAAGCACCTGTATTAAGTATTATTGTACTTGATGGTTCCAACCAATCAATAGGACAAGGTTCTAGTATTCCAACACTAGAATCAGTATCTTCAACTTCAAATGTTCCTGTTTCAGCAACAACTCATACAGAAAATGTTTCACTAAGTTCGTCAACAGCAAATACTTCACATAAAGTTCTTATTTGTTCTGAAGAACAATTTAAGGTATTTATTATAATTTTTTCTTTATATCCCGTTCTATTTTTTTGTTTTCGAAAGGTTTTTACATTACCAAATTTAAAACCATCTTGTAAATTTAAATTAACTGCAACAGAAGGTACTCGTGTACGAAAAGTAAATATTAATCAATTTACGCTTAAAACAGGTAAATATTTCTTAGCTATTTTATTTATTTTTATCAACTTTTATTTAGATAATGCTAATGAATTCCATTCCGAATCATGTCTTGTGTGTTTGGATAATATGGGTCAAATAAGTATCTATACATTGCCAACACTTCGTCGTCAAATATTATTTAGTTGTATAAAAGCAAGTGATATAAATGCTTTATCGAGTGTTCAATTTTCTCCCTTTGCACATGCTCTGTATTTACAATCATCATCTGAATTAGTTCAAGTTACATTTTCACCACAAACAATTCTACCGTATTCAATGTCTATTACATATGATAAAATTCGACGAAAAACAATACAAAGATCTGATTTAGAAAAATCTGTTCGACAAATAAGTCCAGAAAAAACTTTATCTAATGGACAAGAAAGTCTTCTATCATATGTAAAAATAAAATAAATAAAAATTCCGAATAAAGTTTGCTGTAATACTAATTTCATATGTGTAAAACTTAACCTTGTACTGAAATAGTTATAAACTCAAGTTGAGTTAAAGAATTCATCACAGTGTAATTCCACACATACATGTCGATCATTTGTATCTTTTCTATTTCTTTTTTTCTTCGTTTGATCTTCTCTTTATTCGTTTCAATTTTGTCTATTATTCTCACTCATTTGACCGAACTCGTTCTTTCTTCTCTCTTTTCTTTTTATGCTAGTATATATACATGTGTTGTTTATGAAATAAATGGATAAAGATTTAGTAAGGTCAAATACACGTAACGGATTGATCTTAAATTAACATATATGCTATTCATTAGCGAAAACGAATATTAACGAGTGACAATCATAGCAGATATTAGCATAATCGGAAGAATAAAAAACTGAAATGCTACCGTAGCTATAGTTATAAGTATAATGAGAGTGAGTGTGAGTAATCAGATAGTCTAATCCCGTCAGACATATTCGAAACAATTGCCGAGTCAGAGAGAATGTTTGCAGATTCGGCAGCTCACTTTTTACTAAATTGTGACTGTTGAAAAATATCGAAATCTACTAGAAAGAAGGATTCTCTTAAAATCTGGCAAGATCTGATTGAAATTACTAGGATTTGATAGGATCCAATAGCATATGCTTGTTCAAGACATTCGTTTTATTTCTTCCAACAAAAAAAAACAGTGAACTCAAGAATATTCTGATTCTACGTTGCATATATGAAAAATGGCTTGAAGTTCTTACATGTGATATGCACGAAATTTACAATGTCATGTTCCATGGAACATTAGTAAAAGATATCAAAACAATTGTTGATCATCAAAACAATCGAGATACTAAGAGCAAGCTGAATCAATAAAGTCTATATCGAATGCTTCTTAAAAACATAGATAACAAAAGTAAGCATTTCAGTGTCTATGGCAACTCATATCGCTCTTAATTTTCTACAAATCGCACCATTATATTCAATAGATCCAAAATCAAATGTTGAACAGCTATATTCTTTATGAAATCAGCATTCAATTATTTCAAACTACTTTATACTCAACGAATACTACTCTATAATTTATTACTTTCTCACTCATTGATTTTCTGTTGTCGTTTTTCCGGTTTATTCAACGCTTTTGTTCAGCTCTTGTTCTTTTCTGTCCAATGCTTGCTCTGATTATTTAGACTTATCAACACATTAAAGTCTTGTTTTATATTGATTTGATTCTTTTGAATTATTCATCTCCTGTAAAACTATCTGATGAGACCATTATGCAAAGTTAAAATTGGTCATAGTGAACTTATTTTTGCATTCCACTGTGGTCTTCGCACACCGTTCAATCCTCATGAAACTATGGTGTATTATCTACCAAGTTATAATGAGAGACTATGATGAAGAGATAAATTGGACATTCAGAACAAAATCTACGTTATATCTTCAGTTGATCGAACGAAAAACTGTCCTGACTATCTAGAAGTATTGACTGAACACTTTCTTGGTAGATTAGTTATGTCATTTTTATACATTCTCCCTTATTACTACGATGAGCTGTTTGTTCTAGTTTACAAAGCATAATAAGAAGTCAAATTAATTTTTAACTTCAAGAATCATGAGAGAATCACACGAGTCTGACAAGGTCAAATATTACCTCTTTCTTTTTTGTCTTGGCTCCTCGAACGAGAAACTTAGTCCATTTATTGCCGCTCGTCAAATCTTTGTATTAAGCTGATCTATATTGTTATTATAGCATTCGTTTTAATTAAATATCGAATGACAGAGGATATTATCGGTACTCTTAGAGGACTTTGCCTCAGAGCGCCTATATAACCTTTTTTTTGTGTCTGCATATATATAAATATATATACAGGTAGTCCAAAAAGTATTCGGACACCTATATATCTTGATTTTTGAAGTGGCAACAAGAAATATTATTTTTCTTTTTTCGTCAATAGATAGTTCTCACTTCATACTAGGTTCTCTATAAAAATAAACAATTTTGATTATTGTCTCGAATTACGGAAACGTATCTCATTGAAATGTCCGATTTTCCAATATGTTAGGTGTTCACTTTTCGGACATCACAATTATATTATTTGTCCACTGCTAGAGCGATCAAAGCGAGCTCTATCTGTTGGCATAATATTTGAATGAAGAAAATTAATTTTCACAATATGAACTATTTCAAAAGAAATCAGATTCTTAAACATGCTTAATACGACGGTGCAAGGAAAAAATCACAATGAATTTTTTTGTTAAAATTAATTTTGAAATATACCGTTAGAAAGCATGTCAAAAGCTGCACAAAACAAGGACTATCTACTGGTGAAAAAAGAAAAAGTGTATCTCTTATTTTTGATCCGCAAGCCAAGAAATACGAAAAAACATGGGGGTGTCCGGATACTTTTTGGACTACCTGTATATATATAAGTAGTGTGTGCATGAAACTATTTATTGCACTTTGAATTATATCATGGCTCTCACAACGATTATCATTCTTCTAAACCTCTATTACACCGATTCTTCCTTTGCTACGAAGTGTCCAACGATTGTAACTCACCAATTTTGATGTCAGCCAAGTATGTGATACGAATTTGTCCTAAAATAATGAAATCATAGTCATGTTTTTAGTATACGGGACTTTGGTATGAGATCTTTCCTAAAGAAAATCAATTCCAGGAAGGTGGCAAATGTGTTAATGCAACATACACGATAAACCTTGATGGAACAGTGAGTGTCTTGAATCAAGCAATTAGCGCGTTGGGTGTTTATGAAAACATAGAGGGCTATGCTGTTGTGAAGAATCCAACTGTTTCAGCGACTCTGAAAGTGACTTTTGGTTCGAGTAAATTGGTTCTTTTCTTACAGTTTAAAATGATGAGATATTGTCTTTTTCTTCGTAGATCAAATAGGCTCGTATGACATTATTTCAACACACTATAAAGAGTATTCAATCGTCTACTCTTGTACTGATATTCCCAACACAAACCTTAAAATTGAATTCGCATGCATTCTTGGGTAAGTCATTGATGAATTCTTGTTTTTTTTCTCACAGTTGCCACTTATTTATGCTATTTTAGTCGACGCAAAATACTTCCATTAGCAACCATCAATAAATGCAACGAATTTTTGGCTAATCTAGGCGTCAGTGCATTCAATCTATCGACAACACTGCAAAATTGTTAGGGAAAAAAGAATGTTGTTTCTTTTCATAAATAAAATATGAAAATTATTTTTAACTTGAATACAGACATAAGTCATTAACAATTGATCCATTATAATATTTTTTTCACATCAAGAAAACAATAAATCACTTAATTTTTGTACACAGATACTCAAAGATGCTTTCGTTTGCGTAAATGATTTGTTTCATATCTTAGATGAGATGTTGTGTGTGATCGAATAGTTAGAACGATTTACCATGGATAAAGACATAGACTTAAATGATGAACATGATGAAGAAGGTATGATGTTTTTATCTGATCGAAGTATGGCTTGTTCATCGATATCGTCAGAGACGATCAGAAGATTACAGATGACTTCTCTTTCGAATTCAGAGAAGAGAAATATAAACAGATTGAATTCATATTGAGAGTAATGCGAAAAATTTTGTTGACATTGCGGAGTCAGACTCACTAGAAATAAATTTCTAAGATACTATAAGGCATAAGATCCAAGGGAGTAAGTGCAGCAATTGAGCACCAGATTTTACTGCAAAATACTGAATAAGTGCTGAACGTGCTGTGCTGCACATACATATTTGAAATTAGATTGGACATTAAGGTGATAGCTATAACTGAGAGGCATACTATGTTAATATGACTTTTTCTTTAAGACAAAGCTATTATTTGAAAATAACAATTTTTTTCTATAAAATTTAAGTAAAAGTTTTCGGTGTCAGAGAATCCAAATCTCTAATCGTTTTTTCGAAGTTCTTGAACTCGATATTTTAGGTCACTGGAAGCCTATTTCAAAAGCATAGCTGAATGCTATGAAGCATGAAGCAACTGCAGAAAATAGGCTTTCAGTGATTGGAAAACCAAACCCAAACATTTCGAAATAACGATTAGAGATTTGGATTTCTCGACACAGAAACACTTTATTTAAGTTTTATATGAAAAAAAATCGAATTCTAACAGTATGACTTTCACTCTTAGCTATCATCTTAATTTCTAGTCTAATTCTAAATATGTACCAATGCCATGACATTAGGTATGCACCAGTTCCAGTCATGACTGGGTCATCAATCATCTGATCTTTAGTTTGTTAAATGAATAATACTTCCCTCTTGTTTGTCACATTATAATAAACTGATATGAACTTATTAAGGACCTAATACGAGCTATATCATAGTATTAATTGATTATTCTTGTGTCACTATGTGTCAACTCTTGTCATATACGGTATTATAAAATAATTTCAGATGAATTAGTTCTGTCCATATAACTGAGGATGGGTAGTTTTTCTCTCCGTCGCATATTTAAACACCGAAGGTTGAAATTTTTATCAAAAAAGTGCATTGTTCGACTCTTCATGAATTTAAAGTCTTGAGTTGACTACAGATACTATGTGATTTTAGTATAGTCATTAATGTAAATTAAAGTTATGCTTCAAACACACTCAATTTATCCTGTTCGTGTATAATATAACAGCCAGCTTGAAGGGTGTGGGCGAGGGTGTAGGTCTTCTCTTCATTTACACTCACATCCACACCCACACCCACACACCCCCACCCCACACCCCCACCCCACACCCACACCCCGCTCATACCCACACCCATCCACACCCTCAAGAGAATTTTTTTATTCAAACAAATAAAACACAATCAATGTACAGATCAATGTTTTCTAGTATTCAAATAACGTCATGTAAATCGAGGACATCTCTGTATTTTTCTATTATATGAAAAATATTATAAAAAAAATTCATATTTAACATTACTATGGTGTCTGCATATTAAGTAGATATAAGCTTTTGGACAAAATATGATCAACCATGAAAAGCAAACGTCGATACTGTTCATTTCTATCTCTTTTTCAGATATTTCCAAGCATTATAGATGGTTATCTATAAAGGGATATTTAGCCTGCATGATAAGCAAGACTTTGTTCTATATATTAGTGTAATTATGTTTTCAACTATATGATATGAATCTTATAAATGAACGATATGTATTCGGAATTCTGAAAATATTTTTGGTACTGATGAATCTGATCGTTACTCAGATGGGGTATTTCACAAAGTAATTATTGATTCTTGTTCAACTCATTGCTTAAGACATTGTCCCACTGATCTAAAAGTAATGGTTTCAACAGATGACTTTGGTCTTGCCAGACAAATGCAAGTTTTCCAATTTCTGTCAATCGCTTAGTCTCGTTTAATGTTATCTACGATAATCTTTCATGTTCCAATTCTGTACCAATTGCTTAGTTAACGTTCTCTTGTGTCAGATCATGCTGAACAGTTAAGAATCGATGTACTATTAGATGCTCAACAAGATATGACTTTGATCAATGAAGAATGTTTTCTCAATCATGAGATTTTTCGGGTGCCTAAATAACAAATCATTCAACTGTTTGTGATTCTCTGAGCGAATCGGAATTGGGCAGCTACATTCATTGCAAGTATACAAAGGATTTTTAGACATCCAAGTTTGGTGGATCATCAAATATCCTTTTTTTCATCTTGGTATCAGACAAATAAATAATTATACTAAATTGATGCACCCATCACTGTGAACAGAAACATGATTCGAGTCAAATTGGATAATGCGCACCCAATATTCGTTCATACTGAATACGATGTTTGATGTTCATCAGCAGTGAATGCTTGCAATGTTTTCCAGTTCAAGAAGATGTATTTGTGTCATTTTTTCATCTATGGATACATATGATAAATGCTCATGCATTGTATTAGCATATTGTTAAATATGATATTAAATTTACTTACGCTCTTCTCCTTCTGATCAAGGTCATTCATTTAGCTAGTTCTTATTTCTTTTAAAAGGAATGAATAGTAATCACTTAGAAGCAAATAAAGCTCGTTGATAAGTATATGAAAAATCCTTTGAATAATACTTTGAATAGTTGATTATTGTAAATGAATCACTCTGTTCTAATACTTTTGCGTGCTTAGTTGATTCTTTGCTACCTTACTTCCAATTAATAATGGCTCACAGATCAAGACAATATTGATCTAGTGTGATGAATAAGCCAGCCTGGTTTGGTATATATTGAAAGGACACTTTGAAAAAAAAATGTATTTCTCATACAAGCAACCTCATCGACATTTTTACATCAGTTACGATCATCATTCATTCATATACGACCTTCAAGTTCACAAAGAATGTTGTTGTATATCATCTCGCTTTTGATGGTTGTGAATCATGTTGTCGTGTGTGTAACTCCTGTACGCGAATATTCCATTCGAAGAGATCTAATAGTCGGTGTCAAAGCGCCGGAATTTTCAGTGTATGATAAAAGTGGCAAGAATCTTCAATATCGAATGGAGTCTAGAATTACAGGATTACATAAAATAGATCTCATTTCTTATCCATCTAAACAAACCGTGGCTCGACTGAACAACAAAATAACATGGTTTCTGTACGAAGCAGCATTCGAAATACTTAACCCTGAAACACAACAATGGATCACCGGTTCAATCAATCAAAATCTTCAAATTTTGAATCACAGATCAGTTATCGAATGGAATGGACGACGTCTTTTAATGGAACACAACGTTGCCTCGTTGACGACGCGCTTTCTTGATGATCAAAACGGGGGCCAACTTGTAGCCGAATATCAAGTATCTCTCCCTTCACTTATTTGGGCGACTAAGTATTCAATGAAAATTTTTACTGATGATCTGCCCGATGCCATATTTCTATTCGGTTTGGCAGCTCGAGATTATATTACCACACAGCGAAAACAACAATAAAATGCTAATGCTTATTCGCATAATTTCTGGGACATCATCAATTCGTTTCAATCATTGATTCACATCAGACATTTTCATCGAATGAATTTTGATTTTATTTTGAATATTACTATTATTAAACTTTTCGCAAACATTTTCTTTCAAAATAAACACCGTATTGCCAATATTCTAAGAAATTTTGCAGACATATTGCTCTTGATTCAATCGACTTTTGACACAAATTAGTATCAGTCGTTATTAATAATAAAGACAACCAGAGTTTAGTTGTTAAATAATGATTTCAACCAATAGACGTCGCTTACATCTGATCATTTTGATGCACATATCGCCGAATAGGCCTATTCAATGGGTTAGATTTCAGCGATTTTCAAGGCAAACTATTTATGGTCTCGATTCCAGAATAGATGAGCGTAAAATCAGCTCGATATCGATAATTTTTTTTCAAAAATAAAGAAGGCACAAAAGGTTTTCACATCGTATCAAAGAAAATCAACAAACGTAATTAGTTTTATGTATACACTTCTGCTCAACTGTTTTCTTCTGATTATTCAAGCTGATTTATAACCTACAATTATCCAAGTTATTATAGGATTTATTTTTGAATAGTTGTAATGAATTGAATATTTGGCAAGCACAATAATGAGAAGAATTCTAATGGAAATGAGTTTATCATACATACTCCTTCACTTATTGTTCTGTTTGTGAACGATGTTCTATTCGCAAACAGAACGTTTCATTACAATTGTCATTGTCAAATCGATTTCATTCATTGCAATATGTTTTAAAACAGTTACAATCAGCTATGATGCATGAAAATGAAACAGTAAATGGAACAAACATGAGAAAAAGAAATATTATTTTAAGTGTCTGAAGGAATTTGAGATACAAAAGGTTCATTTTTTTATGAAATGAAAAATAAAATTGTAGAAGCTTATCAGAATTTCTCAAGCTAGTAAAATTAGAATCAATTTCCATGATGTTCAAAGTGGTACAATTGACTTTGTCAGATATATTGTAATCAGAGTTACTTCTTTAGCACACGATGTACGATATCTTCTCTTCATGTAATATATTTAATTAGGCCGAAATTGGTTTCTGATGAATCTTGGGATTAAGAAAGAGTTCGACATACAGTTCAAAAACGCCAGTGAAGCTTTGCTCTATTTTTCACACACGCATTAAAAAAAAATTTTCTCAATAAATAACTGTTACTTATTTTTTTGTTACTATCGTCACTAAAGAAATTGCCTCTAATAGAGATAAAATCGAATCGTTATCGTAGAGCGATGATTTCTGCATTGTTGTATTTCAGAGAAAGATCACTGTTATGCCAATTGAAGGCGCACACTTCAGCGATTATAAATATATGAAAACGGCTTCATATGAGTTTGAGATTATTTTCTTTGATCTTACCCTATATTATATCCATATAAAAAAGAAACAGGTGAATATGCTATGATTTATGGATCATAAATATAGGCTTAATCTCATATAGTTTGTCTATATTCTTGGGAAAGACTACTGGAAAAGATTTCGTCGAAACAAAACGCCTAATAAAAATTATTTGATTACATGTTGATTGTTCTGGCGATTGTACATTTCTGTTAATTTAGATTTACTTATCTTACATGACTTTTTTGATTGAAATAATTTTTTTCGCTTCTCTTCGTTTTTTCAAGACAGAGCAATTTTTCGTGTGATCTGTATGTTGTCGATAATTCAATATGTTGTTGTTTAGAAAAACATGATAAGTCAAATAGATTGTTTGCTACGGACATCTTTCTAAAAATTTGTTCGATAAAGTATTCTATTTAATGGTCGAATCAATGCACTATCTTTCAACCAATAAGATAAACTTTAAGAACGATGGTTAAAATTAATATATAAAAAATTAATTTTAAGACAAAAAAAAAGCATTTTTTTTAGAATAAAAAGATGCCTACTGTTCTCTTGGTCGATTGCTCTTTGGGTATGGCTGAACGATTTTCGTTTGTTATAAAACAAGGGGATAATATGGCAACGACGATGCATATTGAAAAACGCAGTTTAGTAGCAAAAATAATCGAGTCATTAATGACAAGTACCCACAGTCCTACTAAACTTGAAACAATCGCACTTGTAAGTTTATTTTTTACTTCATTCAATATTAGACTCGTTCTGGTTTTCCTTCCTAGGTATTCTTTGCAGGACGTGATACAATTAAAATTGTGCAACATTTTACACGGAATACTGACGATATTATTAAATCTGCTCAGAAGTTACCAATTTTTGGCGATTTTTCTTTAAAATCAGCTATTGAATTTGCCAAGAAATATTTAACAACAACATTCGGTGCACAACGTTCACAGAAAGTCTGTTTTACATATTAATCTTCATTAAATAACATCAATTAAACAAAAAAACCTGATGTTTAGATTTTAGTTTTTACAGATAGTTCTCATCGTGATGATGATCCGATCAAAGAAAGTACTTATAATAATAGTAATCAAATGGATATTGACTTACGTAAAGAGATAACAAATAATGAACAAGATAAAATAACATTGTCTAATTCGCCTACGGATATTTCATTTGTATGTATTCGAAAACCATCAAGTATTGATCGAGCACGATTAGAAGATATAACTGAACAAGCTCAGTGTTCTTTTTCAAAAATTTATTGGCTATTAAATCGTGATATAGAAAAAAATGCAAGTATTACCAATGAAATGATTCAAGATGTAATTACTCAAATAAAAGCTGATATAATGGATGTATTTATCTCAATACTTAAATGTGGTCATTATGAATCTCAACTTGCTGTTTATCCTAAAATAAAACCAGCTATTTTGTAAGTTAATTTTTTCAATTCAATTACAGAAATTTACTTAAAATATTCATTTAGACAAACAACAGGTGAATTACTTCAGCCATCAAATACTTTAACAGTAAATGGTTTTATTGAACTGTCATCAATACGCAGTGCTATGGCAACATCAAAACACATACTTTTACCAATTCAACGTTATATTCGACCACAACCAACTATGCCAATGTTTGCAACAAAAAAATCTGCAGTACAATCATCATCAACAACAATGACGACGACAGCAAATTCTTTAACTTCTCAGAAAAAATCAAATGCAGCAAATAATTTCTATTACCTGTTACTTATATCATTAAAAAAAGAAAAATCAGCAGCATTAATTTCTGTTAATGATCAATGGTTTGGTGCGATACACTGTCAAAAATTTGAACGAAAAAAAAAATCAAGTCGACTTATTCTGTCTGTATTTGAGCCAGGTGATTGTATTCCATGGATTTCTAGTTTTGAACGTCTTGGACCGTATGCTTTGGTATTTCCACCTACAAATAACGGTGAATTAGTATATAAAAAACAACAATGGCCAGTAAAGCCATTTGCTAGAAGTTATACAGAAACTTTTCTTATTTGGTGTCGACAAAATAATTTTCAAGTAAATATTTCTTAATGTTTTTTTAATTTATCATTTACAAAATTATATGTATTTCTCATAGAATGATATCAATAAATTTGTTCGTGCCTCAGCAAAATTACCTGATAAAGTCAATATATTTCATCGAGTTAGTATCATTATTATTCATTGTAAAATTATTCGTAAGCCGATAAGATCTATTTGTATGAAGGAAAAGAAGACATGTTATGCTTTACAACTATTGATGCTACTGTAGAAAGTTCTCAAAGCAATTTCGAAAACTAAATATTTTCTTGAACTTAGAGAACTGCAGAAACTATTTCCTATCTCTTATTAATGCCGATTTCAAAAATTAAAGCGGTCTGTATGTGAATAATTTTTGATAGAATCATCGATTGAACGCCGAAGTTTTCATTATTGAAAAGATGAAATAAAATTGCATTGAATATATATATTATAAGTTCTCATAAAATATTTTCTGTTTGTTTAAATCAACTTTCTAATAAAAAGTGTCGGATAAATGGGTTCCATTAATATAAGAAAAGAACAGTCCATGTTTCTTTTTGTCACAATCATTGCTTGAAAAAAAATGGTCCGATAGTTTTCACTAGAATACTTATAATTCTTGAATAATTAAATCCATAACCTAAGGCTTTCTTAGTTTTCTAGATCTTTCATCCTATTTGCATGCACACCTAACAATTGAAAATTCTCTAAAATCATCATCTCATAGGATCCGTTAGTTTTCAAAAAGGTTGCTTGAAAACCTTTAACATATGAATCAAAGCATCTTCATCTCCGTTTGCTAAAGAAGAAAATCGTGGCTCTCTATCTTGTTTCTATCAAAATATATGTTGAATAACCATCCGCCCATCTCGTTTTTCTTTTAAATAGACGTTAGTTATGATCTGTAGTCTTGATTAGAAGAGTAGTCTAATTTAGAATTTTTCGCGTCATCCATCGACACATCATTTCTCATGCTATAGTCAAATACTCTGTTGTAGTTTCCATCGTCATAAGTTTATTGTCAAATAAAAAATCTGAGGTACATATCTATAGGATAACTATGAATGAGCAGTTTCAGTAAAGCTGCTTATTGATTTACTCGACATATCCGTACTGTATAGATGTGCCAATGTTACAGTAAGGGCCAGTGTTCAGAAAATGCCAATGCGATGTAATCAGTGTGTCAGTAGATTTATTATCGGTAAACCACTGTCAGTATTTTCATCAAAATCACAAAGCCCTAAAGATAGCTTGTCGAAATTATTTTACAACTTTCTGAACATGATCAATATAAATTTCGAATAGAGGCTTGCCGAAGCAACTAGTTTTTCGTACTTGATCTCAAAAGAGATTGGAGATAAAATAAATAAACTTTTACATGGTTCTAGCTTCGTCAGAGAATTCTGATCTGAAACGAAACGACTTGTTTAAAAAGTGATTTTTCCTCTTTATGAGAGACAAAGTACATTACTTTTTAATCAACAAATAAAATCAGTTCGTCGCGATTCCAGAAATATCATTATATAAATTATTTTTTTGTGTTTAGGAATTAAATAAAATCTGTCGTGGAGCATTTATATATGGACTTCGTGATCGATTATTTCATTTATTACGACAATTATTTCAACATCAAATACAAAGTGGTAAAATAAAACCAGATGGTATAAAATACGTTCAAAATGTTATTATGTATATGAATCGTCTAAGTTCATCAGATCGCTACATTAAATATGAAGAAACATCAACTTAAATAAAAAAAAATCTTTTTATTATTTGTGTATGTATCCAAATAAAATTGTTCATTTCATTTCAGATAAAAATGTCAAACGAAATCGAATATTTTCCTCGTGGATCATCAACAACAAAAAATGAGATTAAATCAGAAAAACCTCGAATTAATCATGTTGATCGTGATGACTTATTTATTGGAGCATCATCAAAACGAAAACGTTCTAATTATGATTCACAAAAACTCAAACAAGAAGAAAAGAAAAAAAAGAAAAAATCTATTGATGGTGAAGATCGTCATGAAACATTATATCGACGATTACATAAACAAGTTTGTTGTAACATATTTTATCTTCATCTAAAACAAAAATTTTGTTTTTTAAATAGAATCTTACCGATGGTGTTCTTATTTGTGGTTGTATTGAAAAAATTTCTCCATATGAATTACGTGTTAGTCTACCACATCAAAATATTGGTTATATACCAATAACTATGATATCTGATGAATATACAGAATTAATTCAACAAAAAATGTCATCAATGTCGACTAATAATGAAGATGATTTAGATAATCTATTTCATATCGGTCAATATGTTATTTGTCGAGTTATTGAAAGTGAATTAATAAATGATAATGAAAAATTAAATCAACAAAAACGTTTACATCTATCTATAAATCCAAAAGATATTTGTGATCAAATTACACCTGACAATCTTATTAAAGGAATGGTAAATAGATAAAATATTTAAAAAACAATAAAGTTTCATTTCTTATAGATCTTACCTGGTGTTGTATCGAGTATTGCTGATCATGGGTTTATTATTAATATTGGATTTTCTCAAAGAAAAGGTTTTTTATCAAAAGATAAATATTTAAATACAGGTAAATATTTTTCTTTTGAATCTAATTTTTTATCTATTTTTTATGTGTTTAAGAACAATTAAAAGTTGGATTTCATGGTTTATTTCAAATAAAAGAATCATCAACAACGAATTCGCGTATTATTCCTTTAAAGATGATCAACAATAAGAAAACACGATCAGTATGTATGACAGTCCGCCGAATCTACAAGTTTTGAATCCGAATTCGATCGAACCACATTCTGACACTTTCAAGGAAATTTTCTAATCCGTATTGGACAGTTGCCTCGAAGATACAAGATACTTTTTTTCTAAATTTTTCTATTTGCTGATTTCTGAAACATACCCGTTGCTCAGATGATCAGAGCTCGTCGGATCCGGAATATATTCGAAGATCTGTAAACTCTCTCCCATGATAGAAGGCCTTGGATTTTCTATTATGTTCAATCTAGTTTCATAATCTCTGATGACAAAGTTAGTTTTAGAAAAAGAAGAGCGATTATATAGATTTAACAAAGAATGTTGACCACAATATTTTAAGATTTTCAACTCAAAATCTTGAAAAGTAGACATTTTTTAATGTGAACACCCTAACTAAAGTTTCAAGTTTTTGTTAGGAGAAAGAGTTTAGTATGTAAATTAACCCAATAGTTTTAATCGAAATATATATTTTTTTTTAGGCATTATCACCAACAAAAGTACCTTTTCATATGCTTCTACCTGGTTTCAAATGCAAAGTGACCGTCAATAAAGTAATCGTAACAAAAAACTCAAAACTTCCCTTTAATAAAGATTAACTATTATCTAGACTCGTATTAATGGTCTTGAAGTATCATTTGGTGAAATTAAAGGATTTATTCATATACAAGATTTTGAAACATTGAAAAATTCAATTGATGCTTTTTCTCCTGAACAAGAGGTATATTTGTTATTTTCGTTAAAATCTATTTTATATAACGACAATGTATTTTTCATAGCTTGAAGCAACAATTTTATCAATCGATCCAACAACAAAATTAATTCATTACTCAATGCAAACACATTTATTATCATTAACTTCTCCACCATCGATACTTGAAAATAATAATGAACCATCATCGTCAATAATTGGTTCTATTCAAACATGTGTTGTTATTCATAATGTTGGTTCATCACTTGCTGTTCGAATTCCATCATTAAATCAATATGGTATTGTTTCATCAAATAATTTAACAGATGAAATATATGATGATATTCAACAAATATTAAATTCATTTAAATCTGGTCAAAAACTTCAGTATATTATTTCTTTTCTCTTATTGAATTCTTCATAGTCAATTTTTATTTCATTTAGATGTCGAATCATTGGAATTTCATTATCAAGTAATTTAGCAATATGTACTCTAAAAAAGTAAAAATAATCACAGCGAAAAAAAAAATTTTCTAATTAATCTTTATTTTATTTTTCTTTAGAAGCATTATCGAAGCACCTTTTATTACTTATTCGAATATTGAAATTGGTAGTTTAGTCAAAGTAATATATCAATTTATATTACATTTTAGTTATATTAAATTTTATATGATGTACATAGGGTTCTATAAATCATGTTGATGAACATGGTTTAATTATAAACTTAACGAAATATATTAATGGATTTGTACCAATTATTCATAATGCTGATATACCAATAAAAGAAACATTAAATAAATTTGCATTAAAGAAAAAAGTTCAATGTCGAGTAAGTCAAAATTTATTTAATAAAAAGATAAATTAAATGAATCTTATAGGTTTTACAAGTTGATCCATCACGTCAACGATTAATATTAACAATGAAAAAATCTTTAATAAATACAAAATTACCAATCGTTTATTCGTATAATGATTTGCAAACAAATCTTATTACAATTGGTGTTATCATTTCAATTCAAGATTATGGTTTACTTGTTAAATTATTTGGAGACTTATGTGGTTTAGTACCAAAAAATGAAATAGGACAATTACAAACATTATCAAATACAAATATTAAAAGTCAATTACAACAAATGTTCTATATTGGACAAACTGTATCGTGTAAAGTGATGAATTTTGATGAAGAACAAAAGAAAATTACATTAAGCTTGAAAGTAAATATAAAATATATTTCGAAGATGTTTTACATTTACAGGTACCCATCTCCTTTTTTGACTGTTTCTGGTCTTTGAAGACAGTGCAACCAATCAAGCTGGTTTTTTTTGCTACAGATAGAGCCCTAAAAATAAGAAGACACTTGTTCAGGACAAAACTTTTCAAAGTGGATTTTTGCTAGGAAACCCTAGGTTTTCATAGAGTTGCATCCAATTTTATGCAATTGAACTAAAATTTTTATCATCAATACTTGAAAGTATCCTCCAGCGAGAAGATCAACTGTTTTCATTGCTGATGCGACTGAATGAATTACTACAGTTTCCCACCAAAAATCTATTTCCCAATTTTTTATCTTCGAACATTTGTCTCTTTATGTTTGGTGCCCTATGTGTGGTCAAAGTTTCAACTTGTTCAGTTATACTGTCTTGAAGAACCGAAAATGATCAAAACAAAGCAGGAGAGAAGTACTTTTAAGAAGAGCAGACTTTGCATGAAGTCTTAACAGTTTTATCTACGAAGAAGAATGCATTAATTATCGAAAGAAATTTCATCGATATTGACGTTGATATTTTTTAATCAAAGATGTCTCAGTTTGCTGAAAATTCAACATGATTACACAAAATTTATCAATAAGATAGAGTTTATATTATTGGTCATGTTTGAGAGGTTTTCGTAAAATTTGTTCATCTCGTCTTCGTAAAATAATTAAATTTAGAATTCATTAAATCTCATGAGAAGTTGAACAATTTACTTGGCCTTTTTCGAGTTTATATTCGTAGAAGTATGAATATGATTAACATTTGGAGAATTATCAATTTTTTCAAATGTAAAAATTCGTTTTATAAGAAAAATTTCTCAGACCATGTTAGTTATACTTTATTGAAAAAAGCAAGAGCTGAAGATAAAAAAGTATTTAAAAACTTTCATTTTATTTTTCTACAGTTCACTTATGAAAAAGTTCAGTACTGCAAATAATTTTCCAAATTGCCAATTTTTAATGAAAATTTTCAATAGGAAAATCTGAATCAGATAACATATATGATCTATTGAATAGTATATATTACTATAATTAGAAGACAAATATCTTCTGTCTACTGGTCCAAAATACGATTTGGAAAATCTAATATCATACAAAAATCTTTTTCTGTGGTTCCGATAAAGTTTCAAATATTATTCTTGAACATTTTTATGCACTAGGTTTATGTAGTCTTTCAAATATAAACATAAGTCGATACAATATTTTGTCATCTTTTTAAGAATTTACGTTTCATTTTTACAATTTCATGAAAATATATATGTTTAATTATTAATTATTTTATAGAACTTATAGTAGTTATAATAAGTTGCTTTTTTAGGTACCTGGAAAAATAACATTTGGTAGTAAATTGGCACAAGTACCTGCTGATTTCTCAATTGGAAAAGTAAGAAAACTAATTATTTCTTTTTTGTTATCAAACTTGTTTTCTTCGTCAGGTTATTCAATGGACAGTAACGGAATGTGAAAGTGATGAATATTTAATTGGTAATGTTATTACAGAACGTCGACGAAAACCAATAACAGTAACATTAACACGACATCATACATCAGATTTTGTTGAACATCAATCACTATTAATGCGTCTGGATTTATCATCAAAAAAAGATCAACAACGTGATGGTATCTATTGGTCTCATTTATCTTATATAAATATTTCAATGAAAAAAATTTTAATCGAATTTTGTCGACGATCAATTCTTCCACAGAAATTCGACGATTGTATTGTAAATTTTCTTTGCTGTTTTTCTTTTCTTCTCTCTTTTTATCGAATATATTCTTAGGTTGGATCAATTATTCCAGGAGTTGTTCAAAATATTTTTGAATATGGCCTTTTTATTGATTTACCAAATACAATTATTGCTTTTGCTCCACATAAACATCTAGATTTACATGGTAATTTAGAAAGTATAGAAAAAAAATACCGAATAGGTCAAACAGTATTTGTTCGAATCTTACAATTGGACGAAGAAAAACATCGTTGTATTGTTTCACTTAAATCAATAATGTATGACGGTGAAATCGCTGAATTAAATCAATCTGATTATGTATTAAAATGTTATCTTAATGAAAAATATCAATTAATTGATGATATGAAACAAAATGGAACAGGTAAAAAGAAAAGCTGGGCAGTACAGCTCATTTGAGGTTCAAATATGAAACTCACATATGTTCTCTTGACTCATTATACTAATACAATATATGTTAAGTGAAAAATGTCTAGAAAACTATAGTTCTTTTCCAGCGATATTCAATCATGAGGAAAACGAGTAGTCTTATTAATTTTTGCATTTCGAACAGAATTTATGTTGCCGCGCTGTTATTTGCTCATTGTTTTTCATTTTCGTTTTCCGTTTTTCTTAATTTAACATCATTATTATTTTAACCAATGATTTAACTGATAAATAAGTCTGTTGTACATATCCATTATATCTACAACAGATCTCAACAAACTATTATATATATATATGTCGATAAGCTCAGAAACACTGGTATTGATTATTTTCCAATGTTATAACTTGATCAGATCACACTTTTTATCGTGATCATATAGCGCCCGTAAATAATTAGTGCATCATTTCTCAATATGGACAATAAATTTGATAAAACTTACATCAAATGTCATATTCTCACGACTAAGATGTTCTAAAAGTTTATGCAAACTTTATTGAGTAACCATCAATTCGATAGTTACTGTCACAATTTCGATAATAAAAATACTCGGTTCTTTTTGTCGTAAATAACAGAGTTGTCGAACACATAAACGTTTAGTATAGACAAAGTATTCGTGAATATTGACAAAAGTAATGAATTTTCAAGAGGAAGGATATCAGTCATCATCATACTTATCATTTTGAATATGAATATCTATCTGTGTAAAAATCAAAAACTGCAGTAATTAAAACATTTACAAACTTATTATAGCTATTCAAATTTTAACGAAGACTTTGAAATGTTCTAGAACAATCCAAGTTTTGTTGTTAATATCTTTCAGCGCTTGTTCCAGTTGCTAACAGGCTCTGGAAGAGGAGTCTAAAGCCGGTTGTTCTTGGTCACTAGGAAAATGTACCCAGTGATTGTTAGACCTTTCTCTCGTTACTATGAAAAGGGAGTCGAAAAATCTCGACTTAAAATTGACATTCACTGTATTTTTCTTCGAAGAACTTAATGCAAATTCTATACAAACGCAACATAATTGAAGGAATCGACTAAAATTAATTTCACTTTTAGGTCCATTATCAAAATTTTTTCAAGAAACTAAAAAATGGATTGGTTTTAAATGTCGATGTTTAATTGAAAAACGTCTTGATGATTGGTTTATTGGTCGATTAGAAAATGGTCTACCAGCTAGTTTACCATATGATGCACATTACTCAATTGGAGATTCAATCGAAGGTTATATTATAGATTTTAATTTATCAGCACAACAATTTATAATGACAATTGATCTTAAAAAACCGATTAAACATTCAATAAGTTCTATTCAAACATTGACACAATGTACAATTCTTTGTCAATTATCATCATATGCATTAGCAATAACTCAAGATTCAAATCATCTTATTCATTTACCAACATTTTCTGATTTAAATTCATTCTATTCGATTTCATCAACAACTTCTTATAAACGTAAACAACAAATTAATATAAGTTCATTAATTCCTTATATATCCGAAGAATTTAATTATATAATAATACCATTTCAAGAAAAAAAATCTTCAATTAAAATTTATCAACCTGATGAAATAGTATCCGTAACTATAATTGATGTTTTACCAAAACAATTAAATGTTAAATTAAATGATGGTTCTCGTGGTCGTATACATATAACAGAACTGTTTGATAATCCATCAACAGAAAAATTTCAAACATTAAATGATCTTTATCATATAAATCAATCATTAAATGCACGTATAATTGGTACAAGAAATATTGAAAAAGATTCTAAACACCAACGACCTGTTTATGATTTATCACTTCGTGAAAAATCATCACAACAATATGAAATTGGCGATCGAATTATTGGATTTTTTGATAAAATTGATGAAAAAACAAAAGGCTATTGGTTTTATTTATCACTTCATTTGCGTGGTTATGTTCCACCAGAATTTATATCAAAACAATTAACTACAGGACAATGTTCATATTTAACAATAATGAATAAAATCATTAATGATAAAGGTGAACATTATACCTTAACAATGTTTGATAATAATCAATCAGAATCAAATATTATTTATGCACAATTTAAAGAAATAAAATCAATCAATGAATTTCATTTTAAGATTACGAAAGATAATGAAAATTATGAAGGTATATTAATATCAACAGATGTTTCAGATGTTTTTGAAGATTTTATTTTTTGGAATTATTTAATGAATGTGAAACCACCGTTATTAGTTAACGGACAATTAAATATAAAAAAAGAATTATGGAAATTTCGAAACAAAACTATAAGAGCATTTATTAAAGAAGAAAATAAAGAAAAGAAACAAATGATTCTATCAACAAGAAAATCAAGGTTTCTATTTCATAATTTTTTTTTCTAAAAATATTTAGACTTTTTCTTGATATTTTTATTTAAGATTAGATAAAAATCATTTGGATCTGATTGATGAAGAAATTGAAAATATTGAACAAATTTCAATAGGTGATATTCTTCATGGTTATATTGACGTATTAACAAATCGTCAAATAACAATATTATTGGGTTCTGGTAAAACAGTCATCGGACATATTGAAAAAGTTCTTAATAGAACATTAAATGGACATTTACGAGAATATTTAGATATTGGCATGGTTGTAGAAGCGATTGTTTTAAAGTAAAAGATTTGTTTGTTTTTTTTTCTTTGAGTTTTTGTAAAAGACAAATAAATTTGTTTGCTTTCTTTTAGTGTGGACAAAGAAAAAAATAAATGTCAAATGAAATTAACTGATCAATTTATTGAACAATTAGTTTCAAAACGTTCGAAACGAAATCGTCTATCTAGAGCAAATAGTTTGGTAAGAAAAAATTATTTAATAAAATTTTTGTATTTAGAATTGCTATTTTATGAGCAGAATCAAACGTTTTGATCTTAATATCAAAATGAATAAAATATTTTCTAGTAAATCTGACAGAACAGAAAACCATAACCTTCTATTTTGGGCTAGTTTTTTTTTACTAACATTTACCTACTAAACCAAGAGTTTTTGAAAAATCTTCATGTATTCAAACAGACGTTTTTAGAAAATAAGGGCTGAAAAAAATCAAGATTTTTTTATCATGAGAAAAGAAAAATTTCAATCAAAAACTGGTTTTACAGAGAAAGTTTTTAGAGATCGTACGGTCTTCTATTACGCTGTATAAAATTTTTCATTTGAGTGACCTTGTAATGAGGATGAAGTGTTATTCTTGTGGGAAGAGTAAGACGAGAATGGTAAACGGTTGCTATAGATACTTTTAACTTTTTTTATGTTTTCAAAAAATTGAGCTTACAATTATTTTTTCGCAAATTAAACTGTTTCTATCGATGTCAGTAACTGTTTCCATGACGGAACATTCATTCAAATATTTCTATTAAGTGAATATTCATCGAAATATCTTTAATATATTTTATCAACTTTTTTCTGTATCAAGTTGAAATAAAATGAAATCATTATTCGTCATAGTAATTGATCATACATTTATTTTCATTCCGTAGTACTTATACAATATGTGTCATCGATTATATAGACAGGTGATTCATAATTTCTATATCGAACGAACATACGATGAAACTACTTCAATCATTATGAGAAATCTTATCATCTATATGACAGATCATGACGGGATCAAAAACTTGCTAGGTTGTCATAGAGCGTAATAGTCATTTTGACATCTCTGTCAGGTGGTCAAAAGAACATCGGCATGTTTGTTGAAGGCTTCGAGGCAATCTGCGGAAGATGAGCTGAATTTTCTCGTCATATGTTGCAACGCTTATCAAAGATCTTGTATCATACAAACAGTATAGTAGTGAAACAGGAACTTTACATAATTTCGGTAGTAATTCACAAATAGATATGATTAATCGAGAGATAGATTTTATGCTTATATGATAAGAAAAAAAAATGGACTTATTCTTGTCTAACTGGTTTGCATCATATAATCTCAATAGTTTGTTTTAATCAGTTAATATTTCATTCATTCTAAATGTTAAATTTATTGAAAAGTGTAATAGTCAATGTTAAAAATTTTACGCCTGACAATATAGTAGTAAACCTGGTCGAGAAATCAAATCTTGATAATATGAACTCGAACAAACGAGTTTTGGCATTCCTATTCTAAATTGTCTTTATAATATCGATCTGATCAATGTGGCCTAAGATTTCTTGTTGTAAACTCAGAAGCAATGGATTAGAACTTTCAAATGAAAAAATAGTTTTTATTTGAGTCGAAAAACCGCTTCAATCATGTCTGCATAATCTATAACAGTTGTGTTTATTTTCATTTAGAATGGTTCGATTGCCGGCGGTGATGATCAAGATGATAATGATCAAGAATTAAATATCAAGCGATTAAAAACAGATGATGAATCTATAAAACCTAATGCTCTTGGTAATGATTTAAAATTTGATTGGAATGATGATTTATCAACATTACGTCCATCGACTGATAATAACGATGTTGAACAAATGGATGAATCTAGTTCTTCATTAAGAAAAAAAAAACTTGAGTCACATATTTCATCATCAAATGATCATCAACGTACACAAGAAGAATATGAACAACTTGTTAAAGAAGCAGCTAATGATTCTCATTTATGGATTGAATATATGCAATATTATATTGATCAAGCTGAAATTGATCGTGCACGAACTATAGCTGAACGAGCATTAGCTAGTATCTTCTATCGGTAAAAGTTTTAAGTTCTTTTTTTTATACGAAACTTATTTTGAATTTGTTTAGTGAGGAACGTGATAAATTAAACGTATGGATTGCTTATCTATCACTTGAAAATCGTTATGGTACACCAGAAAAAGTCAATGCGATATTAACACGAGCTTTGGGTAATTGTGATGGTGTCAAAGTTTATCAACGATTAGCTTGTGATGTTTACGAAAAAAACGAACAATTTGAAGTAAGAAAAATGTCAATAATTTCAAAATTATTTCATAAAACTTTCTTTTTTCTAGGACGCTAATGCTACATTTACTTTATTAATAAAAAAATTTAATAAAAATAAACAAGCATGGCTTGAATATATTATGTATTTATTTCGACGTCATCAAACTGAACAAGCAAAAACAATACTTGATAAATCATTTTCAAGTTTATCCTCAACAGATCGTATAAACAAAATTTTTTTTTCTTTGAAAATTTTATTATAACTATTTCTTTGCTTAGATGTTGATATGATTAATAAATTCGGTCAATTAGAATTTAAATATGGTGATAAAGAACGTGCTAAAACTGTTTATGAAAAATTACTTGCTAGTTATCCAAAACGTACTGATCTCTGGTCGATTTATATTGATATGTTAATTAAATATGATACAGATCCATTAATTGCTGCAAGGTATTTGATAAGCATATACTAGTGATTGATCGATAAGGAATGGATCTTTCAGTATTTTTCATATTTCTCAGAAGCCGTTCAACATAATGGAGCAATTTTTTTTTTGATAGATGGCTTATTCAATTTTCTAAATAATGGACGAGTTAGTTATTGGTACTAGCCTGCTATATGAACATCATTTTAACAGAAAGTAAATAACGATAACGAGTGATTTAAGACTATTCTGATAGTCCTGTTTTTCTTTGAGAATAGATGTTCATAATTGAACTATTGATTTGAAATAACATTTTGAATCTACTAGATCGTATATAAATCTGTCATTGTTTGCATTCTAAATTTGAAATACCCATGTGGATTTCAATTGTTGTTTAACTGTTGTGTTAATGAAACTTCCTCCACCATTAATCTACTGCGAAATCAATAGAACTTTTCAAGTTCTACAAAATCAATGACTTTTTATTGTCTTAAAAAAGTGGTTCATATAAAAAATTTTTAGTCTAGTTTTCTTGAAGCCGAATTTTCTAATGGTTTCGACTAGTTTTTGATGGTTTTGAAGCAGAATAATATTCATTTCCTTTTAAACACATATATTTGAAATCAGCACACACAAGTCAGTCAATTTATCTACACTTTAAACTGTTTCTACAAGTTTTTTTCCAATTGAATTTTTACGCCTGAACTCGTTCAGAAACATTTGAAAAAATGAGTTTAATCAAAACAATTACTTTATCGTGTAGCCATTTGTCTTTTTTGTCTTCAAATAGCACATTTTGAAAGTTCAGACCTTTGATTTCTACTGCCACAATGACTTTTTGTTAAAATTCATTTTTTCAAATATTTCTAAACCGCTCCAAAGGTGAAAATTCGATGGAAAAAAATTTGCAGAAATACTTCGAAACATACATAAGTCGATTGGCTTTTTGTGCTGATTTCAAGTATAATATTTATTTGAAAACTCGTCAAATATAAGTCGAAACAGTTGGAAAATCAGATCCCTCGAATAGTACACTAAGAATTTCGTTTTTTAGCGTACTTTTTTTAGGCCGTACAAAGTAATTTGTTTTATAGCGCTTGAAAAGCTTTATCGATTTCGCAGTGAGTTAAGTGTAAAAAAAAGTCTCATTAACACAATAATTAAACGACAAATAGAATCCACATGAGTATTTCAAATTCACCATGCCAATAATGACAGATTTTTATGTGGTCTAGTGGCTTCAAAACATTATTTCAAATGGATAATGCTATTATGAAAATGTATTCAGAAAAAGAGCTATCAGAATAACAATGAATCATTATTCATCGTTACTTCTTTTCTATCAGATGAATCTTCACATAGCAAACTCGTATCAAGAGCTAAATACTCATTAAGTATGTTGTGAAGATAGACCCTCTTTAATATCGAATGATCAGGTACTCATAATCTCTCATTCTATATATAACTCAAATAGATGAGACTTTGAAAATCAATAGAACTCAAAATGCATTATAATGCGCCTCTATTTTCTACCTCTTTCACTGCAATGTAACAGCACACCTTTATTGTTTGGACGCAATGATACGGATAGGTTCACTTTCAAAATTCCTTTTTTTTTTATCTATCAAGCTATTTACATTTTTGTGCATGAATGATTTCGTCATTCTTGCTCAATAAATTATCAGTTCGAAATTAATTTTAATGAAATCATCAAGAGGATCAAAGACTTAACTCTCATTGGCAATCAATAAGACAGAAATTGGCACAACTCATTTGTAACTTAGTACATATGGTCATCTTCAGTATTCTTTCGCTTTGGACTATTCATAAAGGAAATTGGTACTTCCGTATCTAGAAGAAATATCCATATAGTTTGTGTTTCAAAAAAAGCAACGCTTTCTTCTATGAGATCAAAAGTACAAGAATACGAAATATAGTCATATATACAAAAGGACTAATGCAAATTTCTATCGTATTGATTAATAATAATAGTCAAGTCTTCGACCTTTTGATGACTTCATTAGAATTATTTTTGGACCAATGATCTATTCGAATATTTTATGATTAAAACAAAAACACTGATAAAATTATTCACGAACACGAGTGCAAAAGCTTAATAAGAAAACAAAAATTAAAAAAGTGACCTGTTCGTTTCATTGGATCTAAACAAATAAGGTATGTTGTTTCATGTGAATAAAATATTTAAGTTTGTAGAAAATCGAACGAGGAATCTATCGAAAAACATTGCCTTGTTATGTTAGAAAAGCTGCTATGAACTATGCAACATACTAAGTGGTCTATTCTTCATGTTCCACATTTATTTAATTTAGGTCAATTTTTGATCGAGTACTTTCATTAAATATTCCACCGAAGAAAATGAAATTTTTAATTAAAAAATATCTTCAATTTGAAAAACAATATGGTACAACAGTCGATATCAATCGAGCAAAAGAACGTATCACTCAATATGTTAACACAAATGATGATGATAATAAGATTAACTCAAATGTCGAGCAAGATGAGTTAGATTTTTAAATTGTTTTAATAAGACATTTTGTTTTGTTTTTGTCTTATTAGTTGTTTTTGTTATTCACCAAACGAAATAAAAATATCGTTGAAAATGAACAACAAATCTTCTTATTGTTTTTTGAATAAAGATTTTTTTTTGTGTTTTTGATTGCGTTAGATTTACGCGAAGAAAAAGAAATACAGAAGGACTGATATTTAAGCAGCAGTGCGCTCAACCATTCTCTTGATTTTCTCGGCTAGGATGCACAACGAGACAGAGTGAGAGACATGTTAGTTCATGTCTCGTTATTACTTTGTCTCTCTTTCTCTTTTTTGATAGCGGTGCACTGCTATATGAGTTGACTAAAAGCCGTTTTCCGCTTCTTTTTTTCCTCGCCGTCTTTCGCTCGGTTTTTTTCGCTATCATTAGATAGGGCACATTATGACAATTTTTTTTTATTTTGTATCTGTGTATGTCGTATATATGCAAGTATCGAACAGCACAAATGTCACTTTTCATGTTATTATTATTATTATTATCGAAAGAAATATCAGAGTGAAAGAGTGATAATGGTAAGACAAACAAGTGATCAAGCGTGAGAAGAATTTTTTGTTAAATTGTGAGTGTGCCGACTAGTCATCTATATTATGGCATTACTATTTATTAGAGAGCTCTTTGTTGCCATGCACAAGCGTCTGTTAGAGGTTGTTCTCTAACAGCCAGCGAGAATATAATAATGTGCATCTTTCTGATTTAGAAACATTTGTTGAGGTGACGAGATATTAAATAAAGATAAACTAGTATGAAAAGAGTAGATCTTTAGTTTTAATTTAAAAAAATGTCACAGTTGAATAAAATAACTTGTTTTATTTCTGTTGTGTATCTAGGTTTTTTTTGTTTCAGATATAATCAAATAATAATAGTTGATTTCAATTGATTGGGATTGAATACATCTTTTTTCTCTATTTATTTAACGTATTTTATATCAATTGAAGATTATTATTTCTTGATGGATAATATTACACTACAGAAACAAGTTGAAAATCTTCGGCAACAGCTGAAAGTCGATCGAGTTCCACTATCAAGGACGTTAATGGAGTGAGTAATTTCTTTTTGTTTTTTCTTCTTTCTTTTCTTTTTTTTTCGCATTGACATCCGTCTTTTGGCTTAGGCTGATCAAGACTATCCTAAACGCATATTTCATAGAAAAACGCGTTTATTAGGAGCACGTATGGCGTCATTAGATATTATTCGTTCTTTCTTTCTGCTTCTTTTCCGTCCCGCACTAAAAGCAACTCGACGGCAACGACGTCGGGAAGAAAAGATAGTGGAGATGAACTACTACACTATCGACCGACAGAACGAGACAGAACGACTAATAATAGAATCTTGACGAAAAGCAGTAGTAAGAAATACTAACGGGCGAGAAAAGAAGTGTCACGCGCTCGTTCATAGTCTATGTGCGTTTGAGTGGCAATAGTGGCGCATCGCCGCTCTTTTTTTTCTCTTCTCTCCCATCGGGCCTTATTCGTTCTCTTGCGATATGCACATACACATAGACATAAGAATAACACTGTGTGTTGCCCGATTCTTTTTCGCGCGCTTAGCTTGCTCGATGTTTTGTTTGCTAGCTGGCGCTTCTATTCTTTTCTTTCCTTTTTTTCCAGAACATATCCACATACAAACAGTAGTTTTTATTGCCGCTGTTGTTGTGCTCTTTCTCTCCCACTTTTTTTTCTCTTCTCGTTCTTTCTTTCTTTCTTTTTCTGTGTTTTTCACTCGAGAGCGTGTGTTTGTCCATCATCATTTTATATTATTTATTGGGTGCGCTATTTGTAATCCAAGACTCGACCTATCAACAATTGGAAAAAGTTAGTTTTCCGTATAAAATAAAAGAAAACTATGGATAAAGGCTCATTACAAAAGCAAATCGAATCGTTACGATATCAATTACGAGTAGAAAAAGTACCTCTATCAAAAACACTTCAAGAGTAAGTTTTTTTACTTTAATGAACATTTGTCAAAAAGTAACAAAAAAAAATGATTAAAACAGAGTTTCTAAATTCAGTCATTTTCTTTTTCTTTACTAGTTGTTTTGTTACATTGTTCTAGCTCATTACGTAAATAGTATTTAATTATTAAAAGAAATAAGAAAGAAAAGGTATACTATTTCAAAATTATCATTTTACTGATTAATAGACTATTTGACTGAGCAATCATAGTATGTTATTATTACGTTTGTTTTTGTTTTTTGTTTAGATTGAAACGATATATACAAGAAAACGAACAAGCTGATCCGCTTATTCATCCACCGGATAAAAAGAATAATCCATGGGCAGAAAAAAGCAAATGTACGGTCATATGAATATTTATATATATTTATAAATATATAAAAACAAAAAAAATTAACTGTTAAAGGACTTGTTGCCTCATTTTTTTTGTCTCTGACTAATACCTTTGACTTGTACTGCTGTTTCGTTTGTCGACTATAATGACTGATCGAGTGTCTTGTGTGACAGATGTCTTGTTTTTTTTGTTCCTTTATTTCTCTATCTTTCTCTAGTCGGTCAGATCGTGTGTATTTCTTTAACGTGGATGACAACGATATGAGGATGCCATAATTCCTTAGAGTCGATCTGCAGTAGTCACCACTATTCTTTTGTTGTTGTCTAATTCTTCTTTTCTTTTCATTTCTTTATTGAGAAAATTTTCGTCTTTTTCTTTTTTCTTAGCTGAATGTGCATACGTCGATGGTGTTGATTGTATTCTCTCTTACTCTCATCAGTGAGTGTCTCTATCGGTTTTTTTTTGGACTAGGGATTGAGGATTTCTAGTGAGAATTCATTATATTGTCTTTGAACTACTTTTTCTTTATTTAATTTTGAAAACAGTTTGAAAATTTAATGGGAACAAAAAAAACGAATGATGATTATATACAGCTGAAATTGAAATAAGTTTGTAGAGTTTTTATTGAATTATCTTATATTAATCTATCCTTTTGTATATTTTATGAAGAAAGAAGCTTGAAACTACTATGATTGATGATTTGACAAATCTATAGAAGAGGTTATCTATCAAAAATAATAATAGTTTGTGCTTTGAGGGACAGAAATATCATTTATTTTGAAAACTACGATTATAAAAAAATTTTAATTCGAAACAGAAGTTTTCAATGAGAAAATTCTATTAGAAAAAAAAAACAGTTTTACTTACGTCATACGATATCTCCATGATCGCATAACCATTTAATATCACATATTATCTAAAGTTGAAATCTTGTAATTAGTAGGTCATTTTGCTCTATGATGATATACTTGTCATAATTGATTCTTTTTATTGACTTGAGTTAAATCTAATTAATATTTAATTTTGACTGGTTTTTTGAGAATTAAAATTTATATTTAGATGTTGTTTCTAATTGCCAAGATATTTTATTTCGCCTACAATATTTTGATTGTTCATGTGATAAACAGCTGCAGATCATATCAGTTTTGTTTAATTTTAACCATATCAAAATACCCTTATTAGGATTTTATGTAATTTGAGAATTAACGAAAACATCAATGAAAAATATATACATGTAAACCGACATTTTGGTTTTCCTTTTTAAAAGTTATGAATAATAAATAATTTTCCAATAAAACTTATTGCTTCTTTAAAATTTATTCTACGGTAAAACTTTTTCTTTTTTTTCTATTTCATAAAACATAACAAATATATGGCATGATCAAAATAAGTCATCTTGTTCCCTCGATATTTATAATAGCTATCCTAAATCGGTTTTATACTGTAATATTGAAGTTGCTTATAGCATGAAATTGTCAATTATAACCAAAACAACTAGAGAATTAGATTGTCTTTTCAATTTCCTATCACGTAATGATTAAATATGACAATGTCTCTCTCTGTATATATAACATGTGCATCTGAAAGCATACCTTTGTGTGTTTTGTTCATAATAAATACATGAATATCAATGTATTCAAATGTAGTTTTATACATTCGAGAATGATTGTCATCAAGATAAAAACTTTTCATCAAGTTATTCGTTTTATATAATCTTCTGTCAAAAGCAACAACACTCAAACCATTGACTAATCAATATCTTCTAATTTGGATATTTCTAATTCATATTTTATTCGATCCTATCATAGTACATACATCGAGTGTGCTGTAAAATAACATCATGATTAGTATTATAAGTAATATATCTTATCAATTCACTTCACAATCAAATTATATTGTGAAATTATAAGCAACGAATAAATTTGACATTAATAATTTATCATAATAATTTTTATTTTTTCTATCGTCAGCTACTTTGTTTTAATAGAAAGACAACATGTTGAGAGTTGGCTTCTTTGGTACATAAAGCATATTATAAAGTACATGTTACAAGTCAAACAGAATGATCTAGAATTTCTATTCAACAAACAATGACAAATTAGACAAAAAGTGGTAAAAATCAATAAATTAAAAACGTTGAAAGTAGAAAGAAAATAAATTTATTTCAATATGTAACTATTGAACGACTGTTATGTGACTAAATATGATTATGAATTTTAAGTTAGCGGTTGAACCGAAAAGAATAAACTGAGTGACAAATAATACATGCTTTTTTGTTGATGCAACAAAGCAAACAATGGAAAAACTTCTTGCTTCTTTTCTTGAAAACAAATATTCTGTTGTCTGAGGTGTTCGTCATAAAAATATCTCACGAATGAATGTTGCAAATAAAACGTGTGTAATCTAGGAATGTAAAACTAGATAATCAGAATGGAATCATCTTTGATTAAGTTGTTAAACAATTAATCGATGTCGTTAATATTATACCAGAAGAATTTTAAACAGAAGAATTGATGGTAGAATCGTGGAATGACTTATGATCTATTATCCATCAGCAGAATACATTTGAAAATTTTACCAAAGAAACCTGTTCAAATTAATCAACGGTTAGCTCAACTCGACTTCTCATGAAAAACATCATATGAAAAAATTCCCAAATAACATTTTTGATAGGTGAAAT